CTAAACTAAACTAAACTAAACTAAACTCCTCCTCTTCCCTCTCCTTCCTCCCACGGCCTCCTTTCTTCTACCACTGATGATGTTATCTAAATGGGTCATGCAAAAAAAGCAATTAAGCTCAGAGAGCACCAAGGATCTTCCTCTCCACACACCCCATTTTCTTCTAGCAGTAATGATGTCACCTAGTTGGGTAATGAAATGTCTGCAAGAAAACCACCAAACTACGCTCCACAATTCTCCTCCTCCACGACCCTGCTCCCTTCTTAGACTGATGGTGTTACTTAGTTGGGTCATGAAATGTTTGCAAGGAAACCACCAAGCTCAGAAAGCACCAAGCACCCCTCAGTGCTAATCCTCCTCCTCTTCCCTCTCCTTCCTCCCACGGCCTCCTTTCTTCTACCACTGATGATGTTATCTAAATGGGTCATGCAAAAAAAGCAATTAAGCTCAGAGAGCACCAAGGATCTTCCTCTCCACACACCCCATTTTCTTCTAGCAGTAATGATGTCGCCTAGCTGGGTCATGAGATACCTGCAGGAAAACAACGAAGCTCAGAAAGCACCAAGGAAGGACCCCACAGTCATGATCCTCCTCTCCACACACTCCACTTTCTTCTAGCACTGATGATGTTACCTAGATGGGTCATGAAACATCTGCAAAAAAGCAATCCAGCCCATAGTCATCATCATCTTCCTCCTCCTCCCACCTCACTTTCTTCAACCCCTGATGTTGTTACCTAGCTGGGTCCCGAGACGTCCGCAAAAAAACACCACCCAGCTCCGACAGCATCCTCTCAACCCCGAAAATACAAATATTCTCCTTTGCTGACTCTTCCCCCTTACCCGCACGGCGCATCTCCGCCTCTCCGCAGCCGGCGACGCCCCCGGGAACCGAAAGGCGGCCGGCCTAGAGTCCCGCCGCCTCCCCGGGACGCCGGTTGCCCAGCCGGGCGAGCATTCCCCTCCGCGATCCGCTACCGATGCGCCCAGAGCTGGGTCCCCAGCGCGGCGGCAAGCTTCCCTGCGCTCCGCTGGCGCGCTCTTGCGCACCGGGGGCAGCTGGAGAGGGCGGCCCGCTTCCCGCGCCCTTCCCCTTCCTGTCTCCGGCCCGCCTGCCTGCTCGCCTGCTCGTTCGGCTGGCTGGCTGGCTGACGCCGCCCCCCGGCCGCCTGCTCTGCCCTGCCCGGCGGATCGCAGGAGCCCGGCGGCGGCGGTGTCGCCTCCTCCACCGTCCCGGGCGACGGCTGGCATGGTGCGCCATGGCCACTTGGAAGCGCGACGGACGGCTGACTGCGCTGCAGCGGTTGGGTTGCGCCGGGCTGGCCGGGGCGGCGAGCCACAGCTTGACGGCCCCGCTGGAGGTGCTTACCGTGCTGGGCCAGGTCGGGGCTCTGCCCGGGCGGAGAAGCGGCCTCTGGCGAGCCGGCCGCAGCCTGTGCCAGGCCGAGGGACCGGGCGCGCTCTGGAAAGGCAACCTGACCGCCTGCTTGCGCCTCCTGCCTTACAGCGCCGTGCAGCTCGCCTCCTACCGCCGGTAAGCGGAGAGGGAGGGAAGGGGCACCAAGCGGCGATCTGGGTGCGTCCCCGGTACCCCACCGGGCCGTAAAAGATAGATGATAGATAGACGGATGGATGGATGGATAGATAGTAGATAGATGACAGAGAGTGAAAGAGAAAGAGACAGATAGGTGATGGATAGATGGATAGATGAGAGAGATGACAGAGAGTGAAAGAGAAAGAGACAGATAGGTGATGGATAGATGGATAGATGAGAGAGATGACAG